AAAATACCGCAATTGGAAATCTACCGTGTGTATAACATTATAGGGATAGGCGCATAATTATCACTTATCCCGTAAGAAATAATACAGATACAACTACAGTTGCGGCAATTGTGATCACTTACAGTGTTGTGATGATTTAATGAAACATATTGACGATTAAATTAAAACCCATCCATATAAAATTATAATCTTTGCAAAAATAATTAAAATAACAAAAGGAATAAATAAAAGAAATTTCAATAATGCTTTGTCTATATTTTCATTATTTTTGCAAAGATTATAATTTTAATTATTTTTGCAAAGATTATAATTTTATATGGATGGGTTTTAATTTAATCGTCAATATGTTTCATTAAATCATCACAACACTCTATCTTGTAGTACAACCTTCACAGAGATATTTATCATCACAATGTTGATAGAATCTTTTCTCCATAATATTTAACAACTCTAATATAAAGGAAAACTATACTTGTAAAATAAAAATGAGCAAGACTATCATCAATGTTTTAGGACCTAAATCAAGGAGGTCAATTCTTGAAGATTTGAAAGATGGGCATACATATGCAATTCTAACAGATGCATCTAATAAGGGAAATAATAAAATATTTTCCTTGATCCTCCGCTATTTCAACAAAATTAAGGTAGGTCGTTTCAATAAAACTATTAAATTTTTTCCCCTCAATTAGTGAAAAATCCAAAGACATAGCTAACCATATAATGGTAAATATAGCAGATTCAAGATTATCTGCAAGTCAGCTTTCTGATTTGATAATGCCTCAGTGAATTTGGTAAAAACAGAGTGTATTTACAAAATTACGTCAGCACAATGTTGGTTGCGATGTGTTCCTAATAACCGCCATCGATAGAATTTTAAAATTTTATAAACCGTTAAAAAAATATTTCTTAAATAAAGATTATAAAAATTTTTTTTAATAATGAATGGCAGAGGTAGGAATGATTTCACATGTAGGAAATCTACTACATGATGTTAATGTGTAGTTGAAATCAGAAGAATCTTAACAATTCACAAAATTATGCTGCAAATGTGTTCATCTTTACAGTTAATAATGGACAATAAATTTTATGGCGCCATTGCTAAAACTTAATTATATTTTATTTAAGATTTAAATAATAGAACTAAATGTTTACCGTCGTTATATAGATATTTATAAAATTCCTGGCATGACGTATTATATATTTGTTTAACCATTAGCTCGGCCTCAAGCAATCCGATTTCTCTCCTTTTTCCAGGCAGTCCTCATCATGCTAAAAATGCGCTCTGATAAGGTATTAGAATGAGGTAAGGAGAAGACATACTCGCATATTTTATCCAAGCATGGGGATTTATCGTTATTATGAAATAATTCTACCCATTTCTCCTCTGCTTTTAGACCATCTAACTAAGTATTTTGGCGTAACATAAAAAATAGAGAGAATTACAATATCATCAAACAAGACATTAATGTCTTTCGGTATTTTTAATATATTTATTAAATTATAAAAACCATCAATTGATGGTTTCTGTTCCAAAGTCATAATATTTATACATTTGTATGACGGGATCTCTCAAATCCCATGGAGGAGGGGCCAACTTTTGGTATGGACTATCCTGTATTGACCCCTTGGCCCCATCCAACCACGCCATCAACATCCTTGACCAGAAGGAACAACTTAAAATTTCTAAATACACAGAAATAATGAACGATCATTGCTTCATCCCAATCATATCAACCACTCTTGGCACCTTCGGCAAACTCGCCTTAGCATTTTTCAAAAACTTAGGATCACAAATCAGCAAACTCTCAGAAGAACCACGAGAGGGTTTTTTTCTTCGTCAACGATTATCCATCGCGATTCTCAAAGCTAATTATATCAGTTTCAATGGTAGTCTTCTAGCCAAAGAGCTATCCTAGACAACACTTACGTCCCTTTTTCATTTTTGTTTCCCTGCGTCACACCATCTCCGTTCTTTTTTTTAATAGTATTATTATATATTTTTCAAACATTTTTAAATATATTAAAACATAAAATATTATATTTTAGTTTTTTTTAATACTTTATATTATTTATTATTTGAAAATTGAAAATTAGAGTTATTAAAATCAAATTTTGATTGTAAATATTCTAAAATTGTCTTAATAAAAATATCTGCTTCATATAAAAATGTATTAATTAGAGTTTTATTTAAATATTTTAATATAATATTTTTAGCAATAGCGCTACAAAATTTATTATCAATTTTTATTTGTAGAGATATACAGAGCTGTAACATGATTCTGTGAATTTTTTTTAATAAAGAATATTCTGATTGCAACTTAATATTAACTGCATGAAATAGATTTCCTACATGTGAAACGAATCCCAAATATGCTTCTGCCATTTCATACTCGAAAAAATTTTTCAAAAATTTAGGACAGCTTTTAAAGGTTTGTAAAATTTTAAAATTCTATCGATGGCAGGTATTAATGATAACCACCTGATAGGTATATATCGCAATAACTCACACCATTCCAAGTCAGACCACTTCACCAACTCTTCTAATTCATTAACTCTTTTAGTTGATGAACTAAATTCGTTAAAACATTTCATCACAATTATTTTGACATCCACAGATAGTACATTCATTGCCTTCTTGCAAGAATTATGTAGTATATGGCATATACAGCCAATTGGTATTAATTCATTATTGTGCTGCCCCAATTCGGTAACTTTGGTTTTTGCCAAAATTTACAGAGGCATTACCAGAACAGAAAGCTGACATGTAAATCATTGATAACCATGAATCAGCTATATTTACCATTATGTGGCTAGCTACATTGTTGGATTTTTCACTATCTTAGGAAAAAATAACAGTTTTATTGAAATGTTCTTATTCTTGTTGAAATAGCGAAGGATCGAGGGAAATGCTTTAATATTTCCCTTATTAGAAGCATCTGTTAGAATTGTATATAGATGCCCATCTTTCAAATCTTCTAGAATTGACCTCTAGGATTCAGATACTAAAACACTTGTGATAGCCTTGCTTATTTTTGTTCTGCCACAAGACCCTGCTTATATAGGGGACAAACTTATTAAACCGGATATGCAGGCAACTTATCTAATAAGCTCGATTTTAGGAAATACATCTTTATGACGCAAGTTGATGAGATAACAGCATTTGGAAGCACATTAGTCAGGATTGACTGTTCCAAAACAAACATTATTTGTTCCAGTACTTTATGTTAAATAAGATATTGATAGTATATAATTATGAAAATCTTTTACCTAACTTATTATTGAACCACATTAATTACAACAAAAAAAAAATGAATTATTTACAGAGGTAATTCCTAGAGCTTGGCATTAATTCATAACATTTACATTCCTATCATTGGAACCTCTTATAATCTTAACTATTTATTCCCTCAATCTAGAAAAAGATTCGTTTTGAATTTACGTGGATAGCAAAATTCATTTTTGCTTTTAATGATTAAGCATCAACAACGATGAATTAAAATTAATTTTGATTTAAATAAATTACTTGGAAATTTTAAATGTCCTTAAAATTATTGAAAGATCAATTTGTGTCTACTATATGTACTTAAAAAAAATAATTTTTCCAGAGTTTTTAGAAAAATAATCTTCAGAATTTTTTTGAGATAGAAACTTATAAATTTTTTCTTTATTTTTTATGCATGAAAATTACAAAATATTTGGGTTTTTTAAGGTAAAATTTGATCGTAAAAACCTTTCTTTTAAAATTTTTATTTAAAAAAAAAATTAGTTTCTATATTTCTTTTCATCAACAAAATTATGCATATATTACCATTGAACATTTAATTATTAAACTGATTTTAATTTAATTCATTTAAATTGTCATATCTAGTGGATTAGATAGACTTTTGCCGTAGGATGTCCCTAGATACAAGAATGTATAAATAAATACATTTTTTTTTTAAAAAGGAAGGTGAGATTAGAAAAACTTAGATTTTCGATACAAACACAGAAGGATATTTAGATATTAAAACCTATTCATCTTCGGTCAAAAATTAATATTATTATGAATGTATTTTAAAGTATATGTATTTTTTTGGAAGTCCTGCTGCATCCGCAACATCTATTTTTAAAATAATAACCTCCTTGTTTACAGGAACTGGGAGAAAATGGAGAAGTAAATAGTAATCATAATCTTCCATATTTGAGGAGGAGATAAATATTAGGCTCCTATACGGGGGGGGATTGCTGGATGGAGGTGTAAAACTTGGCGGATGAAAAATCATTTGGAAGTAACTGCCAATTAGACAAAGAAGAATATAATAATCTGAAATGAATTTTTTCTTAAACCTGAAGTGAGGCCTAAGTGTCATGTCACCACAATAGACACAGTGAGGGCCATAGTTTAATATATGCACACACTATATATACCACACAAATTCCGGCTTTTGTCCATATATAATAATCCCACTAGCCAATGAGAGCCCGACGCGATAAATCTGAGCTAGCATTATACAGTTTTATTATTATTAAGATTTTTAAATTTTTTTTTTCTTGTCAAAAAATTTAGATTTTAATTTTTGAATCGAATCGAATCTAATCTGCGACAGTTTTCTTTTTTTCTTATCGAGTTCGGTTTTTAGATCTGATAACCGGTTTTATAAAATATTACTATCCGGGCTTGCCGGCTGTTCTAATCGTTTTTTTGCTAATAAATGGAATTGTACAAAATTTTAACAAACAGATTTGCAAAGTAAATTTCTACAAAAATATCAAAATATATTAAAAGAACATTTTTTTAAAAAATGAGGCCGCAAAAAATTTATTTATATTTAATGGCTTTTCACGGTTTATTTAAAATTAAATCATTTCAAACAAACTACAAAAATTGTTGACCAAATATTGAAAAATTGAAATTATTGGTGACCTTGATATAAAGATAACAGGTTACGAATATATGTATTTTCAAAAATTTAATCAAGAAAAAATAATTGTTCATAAATAATTTTTTAACACCATTTTAATTATGTGTTTTTTTTTGTATTTCTCACTTTACAGGTATTGATGGTTACTTTCCGGGTATTTAAAAATGTAAAATGGTCATCTAGATATTTAATAATTATCTGTATCTTCATTGTCATCATTTATTATGATAGTCAAGACGACTTTTTATTGAGCAAAGTTTTTACCGATTATCCAGATCAAACGTGGAATATTACCATGCGCAATTTTTCTCTATTTAAATCGGAGATTCGGTTTACGGCGGTGCCTTCCACTGATTTATTTCTAACAAATATGCTAAAAAATGATGAAAGAGATTGTTGTGCCGGAAATTGTACATCCATATACATTTTAGCACTGATAATTTCCTCATGGAACAATTTTAGAATTCGCGAAGTCATCAGAGACACCTGGGAATTTAATGGCAATATATCCGTAAAGAATAGAACCCATTATTTAAGGCACGTTTTTATTGTTGGTCAGGCCCCTTACAACTCTTCTTTATCTGAACAAGAAAATATTTCATCACAATTAAAGTTGGAATCGGAAATCGGGTTATTCCAAGACATTTTGAAGATCAACATCATGGATACTTATGCTAATTTAACTTACAAAACAATGTCTGGCATCACGTTCGCCCTAATGCGTGGCATTCAAAATAAGATTTCTCCCTTATTTAAATCGTCCTGCTTCAAAAGGTATTTGCTAAAAATTGATGACGATACTTTGCCAAATCTTGCCTCCTTGATCGAAACCTTACTAAATTACCATGAAAATTTAAGTATACCTAACCTATCCATGTCTCAACAAGCCTCAATCACTTCCCCGGTTTTTATATGCAATGTCGTTCAGCACTGGCTTCCTGTAAGGAATTCTAGGCAGAAAAACTTCCTGTCCAGCTTAGATTACCCGCCCAGAGAACTGCCCCCATTTTGTCCCGGTTCAGCTTACCTTTTAAGTTATCATTTACCTACTTTGGAAGATATGTGCATTATGTCGCGATTTACAAATTACATAGCTAATGAGGACGTTTATGTAACTGGACTGCTGTCTCAGCTGCTCAATATATCTATGGTTAACATAGGGCATGCCTATTATACCGGTAACTATCCAGTTAACATATCTAGAATGCTAGATTATAGAAAATACATATTTATGACGCACATTCATGAGACAAATGTTTTTATCGATTTATGGAATCGCACAGTACCAGAAATACACAGGACATATCTCGAGTTGTGATATGAAATCAGTGGGGATTAAGAATCTTTTGATTTTAAATCAATTTTCGTAGGCCATTTTTAAAATTTTTAATTTTATTCCAGCACGGGTAGAGTACTTACCCTATAAATATCAGACAATTTTCGATATAAATTTAGTTGTTTGAAATTAACAACAGTAAGCGAACTCTATTAGATACTGAAATACATATTGTGCGTCAAATCAAATTTTTTAGAATTTATGGCCTTTAACAACTTATTTAAGATCGAAAGACATCCCAATACGACATATATGCCAATATATACACTTGATGTTGAATATGAATAGTATATATATATATATAAATATTGAAACATTTTGCCTTAAATTATTATATACATCATTAATTACAAAATAAAAAATAAAATTTACACTAGCCACTCACAGAGGAATTCCCTAGATTTTAAGCATGAGCTTGATCTTAAATAATTTCTAATACATTGTTCAACATTTATATTCCAATGATTGGAAACCTCTAATTCAAAATATTTAATTCCTAAATTTAAAAAGATTAGTTTTTGACTTGGATAGCAAATTCATTTTTTTGTTTGTTTGTAATAACAAAAGAATATTAAACCAATACAAATTTATTGAACATAATTTTAAAACGATTTTGATTGGCATATTTAATTAGTTTTCGTTGTGACAGATATTTGTTCATAAAATAAAACTTCTTTATATATAAATATTCTAATTATATTTTAAAAAATCATATATTATTCCATTTTTTATCCATGATTCAAGTGTCATTAAAGATTGAACCATCTTTGGATTCATTCTATCGCTTTTTTGTTATTTCATTAGTAGCTTTAGAGATCTGTCCACATGTTATAGATGTAGCCTGCTGTGGGAGATAGTTCATTGCTATACTGGCTAGAATTGGAAATCGATATTGATTCTCTTCCTACCAATGATAGATAGCTTTGGATTTCATAAATATCATATTTCTCTGCTTTCTCCGATGCTCCAGTCCCCATGAGCCTATTACTGCCTATTCTCTCTCTCCATCCCTCAAGGATATTTTCTAAATATATTGATTTATTATTTAAATAAATATTTTTATATACTTTATTTCCCCTTTATGCAACTTGATAAAGTGCTAGTATATTTTTCATATATTTGTTTAAATGGAACAAAATTTTTAGGAATATTTAATAAATTATACATGTGATTCTAAATAAAAAGAAATTTTGTAATATATTATAAAGAAAATAACTTTTCTTTAAAAATTCTGGGGTCTAATAGATAACCAATATAGGACTCCATATTTAAAAATTTATGAATGTAAGCTATTATCATTTTTTAGCGACTTTCATTGCAAAAGGCACATAAATTAAAGAGAGGAAAAAATTAGAAGCCAAAGTACTTCTAATGTGAGTTTGTATGTTTTTGTTGATTGATTTAAATTTGAATATTATTTATTTTATATGTTGATTGATTTAAATTTGAATATTATTTATTTTTATATTTAAGTTGTTCAATTAACTTTTAAAATATATATATATATAATTTTGTGGATGAAAGAGAAGAATAATAAAATAGTTAAAATAAGTTTTACAATTTTTAATATTACAATTTACATGGTGCCCCGGTTACGGTGGTACGTTTTTCATTTTAAATTAAATTTAAATGATAAAAGTTTTAAAAGAAAAATTTAAAAAATATCCTTACCTTGAATTCTTATGTTAAAAATAAAAAGTAAACGAAATACTTATCAAATTCGTCGTTCGATATGGGAGATGTTAAAGGAAAAATAAAATTTTTTGACTTTTCTTTTCGATAGTCAAAATTTTATCCAAATTTACAAATTTATAAAAAGGTAAAAAAAAAATATATATATATATAAAAAAAATATAAAAGAGTATATATATACAAATATAAAAAAATATTTTTCATAAAAATAATGTTTTGTTTTAAAACGTATGATATACCTCAACACGTTATTATTGATGATATGTTAAATGTAATGGGAATTAAAGAATTTTCTTATATACGTGATAATAGGACAAACGAAATTGTTTTTTATTTTAAATCTTTACGTAAAATGATTAATGCATTTATGTGTCTTAATGGCAAACCATATATTCTAGATGACAATAATTTTATTTTTATATTTTGTAAAATTATTGATTATTAAATTTAAATATCTTTATGCTTTAGATATTTGACATTATATTTATAGAAAATTTTCTCTATAAATTTACGTAATATTTAACTTATAGAATGTCAATAAATTTTTTCTAAAAACTTAGTCACGAATTAGTATTAAATTTTTCAAAGACAAATTATATTGAAGCTTAGTGGATCAAATCCTCTTTACGAATTCGAATTAGAATTTTTATAGATAAACTATTAAAACTTAGTGGACCATATTCTCTTGATTAAAATTAAAATTTTTAGACAACTTAAATTTGATTTTAATGAACGACAATGTTTTGCTTTTACGATTTTAAATATTGAAAGTTTACTTTACTCAAATAAAATTATATAATGGACGAAAAATTAACTCTTACACACACTCAATATGTTCCTAAATTTCCCAAGTTATCAGGAAAATTATCTGAGACTTACCTTAACTTAATAGAAACATACTTTGAAGGACATATTGAGTCAGACTCATCTAAAATTAGGACACTACTATGCAGCTTACCAATTGAGATTGTAGACCAAGTTACGTCGATATGTTCTAAAGCACAGTTAAAAGACTTTAATATTGTTTTTGGTAAATTAAACTGTTAATTCCAAGTGAGGACATTAATGTAAATATAAAGAACTTTAATTTAACGGTACAAGGTGCCGAGGAGTCCTTCCATACTTTTTATTTTAGAATTTCAAAACTTCATAAAAAATGCGATTTTGATAACGATACAAGAATGATTGAGAAATTAATAACTTGTTCTTTAAATGATAATATTAGAAGGAAGTTAAATAAACATAAGCACGAAGGTTTAGATAAGATGATGAAATTAGGAGTGGAGTTAGATGGCAGCAATATTAAACCAGACGTTAGCGATACAAATTATGTAGATAATGATAAAAAATTGGATAAAAATAAAAAGTTTTACAATTTAAACATGGATAAAATACCATGCAAAAGTACTTTTAGTAATAATGAGAATAATTCTAATGATTATGAACGTAATAATTTTAAAGAAAATAATTTTAATTATAATGGACGTAACATTCATAAGGAAAATTTTGATTTTAAGAAGAGGAATTATAATGATTTTAGGCCTAATTATAGTGCTAGCCGAAACTATCAAAACAATATTTTTCGAGACAGTGAGGGTAACTCTAGAAATTTTCGTAATAACCAATCTTCGAATAACAATTCAAACTATTACGGAAGAAACTCCATGTAGCACAACAACAATAATGCAAACAATTATAATAGAAACAATGCCTGGCAATACAATAACAATTCAAACAATTATGGTAGAGGTACTTGGCAAAACAATAATTATAATGGGAGAAACAATTCCTGGTCTTACAACAATCAAAGAAATCAGAGTCAATATAATAATCGATATGGTTATCAATATCAATCCTATAATAACAACAATAATGGAGAAAATAATGCGTGGAAAAATTATAATCAAAATATTAATCAAAGAAAACCATTACAATATAATGACGTGATCAAAGTAACATCAATTGTAACATGAACATTGAAGAGATTGTTGAAGAAAAATATAACCCTACACAAAATAATAATGGTAGTGATTTTAATATCAACAATTTAACTGAGTTTAAACTTAATGATAATGCGTTCATGACCACTTTAAAAGTAAATGATGCTGTTGTTACTATGCAGGTTGATACGGGATCCAAGTTTACAATTATACCTCATGAAATGGCTAAACAAATAGGTATTAAAGATCTTAAAAAGTCCACTCTACAACTTTCAGCTTATGATGGAAACTTAATCAAGATTATTGGCGTCACTCAAGTTAAAGTAACCTACGAAGGTATCACCAAACACTTGCAAGCCGTGATCGTTAAATCTAATAAAAATGCGTTATTGGGAGGTATGTGGATTAATGCCTTTAGTAATATTTTGAACAAATTTATAGCAAACATTGATACCAACTATGAAGATGAAATAAAGAAATTAATAAAAGATTGCGAATCTAAACTGACTAAAAAACCGATCAATAAAGGGAATGTCAAAATATATCTACGTAACGACGCCAAACCGAAAATCATACCACCTAGACGGTTACCTTATTCAAAGATAGACGCTGTTACTAGAGAACTTATGAGATGGATAGGAGATGGAATCATTGAGCCTGTAACAGATGTCCGATAGGCAAGTCCGATAACCGCTGTCTACAAGGATAATGGGAGCGTTAGGGTTTGCGCCGACTTCAAAGACACTGTCAACCCAGCCCTTGAGGACTTCAGATACCCACTTCCAAGAATAAATGACCTTATCGCTAAGCTCAAGGAAGGGAAGAAGTTCACCAAGATAGATTTCAAGGATGCGTTCCTACAAATTCCCATTGATGAAACCTGCAGAGACATATTAACTATATCTACACACAGGGGGTACTACCGGTTTACCAGACTTCCTTTTGGGTTAAAGACTTCATCTGCGATTTTTCAACAAATTATGGATCAAATTTTTAGTGACATGAAAGATGTCATATTTTATATTGATGATCTACTAATTACGGGAAGTAGTGACGAAGTTCATTTCAACAACATAAAGAAGGTTTTTGAAAGAATACTATCTCATGGTTTAGTGCCTAATTTTGCAAAAAGCTTATTTTTCAAAAAAAGTCTAAGGTTCTTAGGACACGACATCGACGCCAAGGGGATCCACGCCAACCATGACAAGATCGAGGCGATCGTTAAAATGCCGGAACCAAAATCAGCCGCGGAATTGTCAACGTTTCTAGGTATGGCCGGGTACTACAGAAAATTTTTGAACAACTTCGCTGAAATAGCTGATCCTTTATACAAAATTGTTAACAAAGAAAAATGGGAGTGGAATTTAGAACACTCCAAAAGTTTTGATGATCTAAAGACATTGATTAGTCTTCCTCCAGCTTTGACGTACTTTAATCCTGAACTACCTATCGGAATTGCGACTGATGCATCTAAAAGAGGTTTAGGAGCTGTTTTGTTTCACACTGAAAAAGATGGCAAAGAAAAACCGATAGCTTTTGCATCAAGAACTTTAGCAAAATCTGAAACAAACTATACCAATATTGAGCGTGAAGCTTTGGCCATTATGTTTGCTATCAAGAGATTTCAAGAATACTTGATAGGGACTAAGTTCACTATTATAACGGATCACAAGCCGCTAATCCATATTTTACCAAAGGGCTCAAAGATAATAGCACCATGTCATTAATGTTACAGAAGTGGAGTATAATTTTGGGGGGTTACGACTTTAACATCAGATATAAAGCTGGTAAATACAATGTTGTTCCCGATTGCCTCTCAAGACTACCACAAGTAATTGATGATGACGTTATTGATGATATCGCGATTATAAATGACTTTGGCGATATACCTCTTAGTTTTGACCGAATACGTGATGAAACATCCAAAGATTTTGAATTATCTCAAGTTATGAATGATATAAGAAATAATGTGCCTATCCAAAATAAAATTTATGAAAATATTGAACAAGAACTAAGTATCATTAAAGATTGTCTGTACAAAAGCGACAAAATAATAATTCCGTCAAGTCTGAGAAAGAACATACTGAAGGCGTTACACGAAGGTCATTTGGGAGCAGGTAAAATTAAATCCTTAGCCAAAGATCGTATGTGGTGGTCTGGTATGGTCAACGACATTGATTTGGAAGTCAAAAGTTGCGATGATTGTAATATTTATCATGACAATCCAAAGAAAATACAAAATCCATGCAGCAACTAAACCATTTGAAAGGATACACATAGATTATGCGGGTCCGTTTTTTACAAAGAATTGGTTAATAATCGTTGATGCTTACAGTAAATTTCCGATTATAGTTCCGGTAAAGAGTATTACGACTGAATTCACGTTAAAGGAAATTTATAAAACTATTTCACTATTTGGTATACCTGAAACCATATTTCACGAGCAAAGATTTTGAAAAATTTTGTAGCAATTATGGTATAAAACATGTACTAACGTCGGCCTACCATCAGCAATCTAATGGACAAGCTGAACGTATGGTGAGAACATTTAAAGCTCATATGAAAAGAAACATAAAGATTGGCTTAGAAACTGCGCTGGACAGATTTTTGTTCAACTATAGAAACACGCCGAATGACACTACGGGAGTTACACCGTCCAAAAGAATGTTTAACCGCGACATTAGAATAAAGTGGGATTTATTAAAACCTTTGGAGGACAAAGTTGGTGAAGTCTTCATGTCGTTACCACGAAATCGAACTTTTAATAGAGGAGACTATGTTTGGTATAAGAAACAGGGTGATGATACGTGGTGCAAAGGCAGCATCAAGCTTAAAGAGAGTAACACCATGTTTCAAGTTTATACTGATAAAGGGATAGTAAGTAGGCATATTGATCAGTTAAGGAAAAGAGAATGTTACAATAGTTTAAAATTTTATGAAATTGACCCTAAAAATTCCTCTAAGGGGGGAAGTGTGGACACAAAGAATGAGATTAAGATACCAATTACTAGACCAATAAGAATTAAAAATAAACCTGATTACTTAAAAGATTACGTGCTTAAAATTTAAATATAAAACGCAAAAAATATAAAACGCTAAAAATATAAAACGCATAAAAGGCTAAAACTATAAAACGCTATGATTAACTTAACACCTAAAAAATAGTATAATAATCATCATGATTTATCATTCCTTATTTTGGATTTTATTCCTTATTCCTTAAATTATCATTCCTTATTACATATTGTTCCGAAATTCAAAATTTTATTCGTGCATTTGATTTGATCAACTATTCCAAATTATATATTCCGATTTATTCCAAATTCCAATATTCAACTGGATTAATTATGAAACATGATAATAACAATTTTGAGAAATGTGAACAACATACGATAAGGATATCAAACCAACGATAACGTTCAAAGATTTTATCAAACCTACGCAATTGATTCAAGTCTACAATAAACGTACAAACTCACGCAACTCTAATAAACGATTTTATCAAACCTACGTGATAGAATCAAGCCTACGAGAACATTTGAGACTTATGCGCTAACCAAGATTAAACCGAGTACAATCGAAACAGGAAAAACTTCTAGGACAACAAGCTCTCGATGACTGCTGAGAAGAAGCTTCGTTGTTTGTAGAAGAGGGGGAATGTTGATTGATTTAAATTTGAATATTATTTATTTTATATGTTGATTGATTTAAATTTGAATATTATTTATTTTTATATTTAAGTTGTTCAATTAACTTTTAAAATATATATATATATAATTTTGTGGATGAAAGAGAAGAATAATAAAATAGTTAAAATAAGTTTTACAATTATTTAATTTTACAATTTACAGTTTTCCAGATATTCAACCAATGGTAGGATGGGAGGATCCAGATAAAATCCAAATAAGTTTCATAAAAGGGCTTTAATAAAGGAATTAGTTCCTCTATTTAATTCTTACCATTATTTGTTAGGTCAATATTGCCAAGGGTTTCATATTCTTAATAACTAACAGTTTTTATTGTGTCAAAATTCTAAGAATAATGAAAAAATATATAATCCTATTAAAAAAAAGAAAAAGATAGATTGATTTAGGACCTACACCAACATCAAATATGTTGAATACCGGGTTTCAACATCAGTTGGAATTTTTTGTCCAATCCCATTCTCTTTAGTGATCTATATTTTTGAAGTAATAATGGACTTTAAGAAATGTTTGTTGTAATCGATCTTACTTTCACAATATCTTCATCAATGTTTTTTTTTAAATATTCTGGCAAATGATATTTAACACATGTTCCATACAGTCATATGCTCTAAATGGGTTTGGAAGTTTTCTCATTAATCTCTGAGTTTTAAGCATATTTAGAGCATTATCAGTTGCTAAATCGATAATTTTTCCTTTCAAATTGTATTCAACAATTAATTCGACATTTATATATGTTTTCAGCTTTATGAGGATAAGGCACATAATCAATATCCAATATTATTTCATTCCTTTTCCACGCTTCATCAATATAGTGGTCACCACACCCACTTATAGATATATTTAGAGGTTACTGAACCGATGATATGTTAATCAAGAGACTTTCATGGCCTTGATTTTATGACCAATTTTAGCCCATTAAAAAAAATATATTTCAAAATCTAAGCCCACGAAGGTCTCTTGTAAATATATAATCATAATCTTATTCTTTAATTAAAGTTCAAAAAATATCAATATCTAAGAGAGAAGGGATCATAACTAGGGGTGGAGCCAATACCAATTGTTATTAGCTTTACAACCAATCGGTAGCGTCACTAAAGGGGTTGGCATAGGCTCAAGCCCCCTAAAAAATTTTGATAGTTCCTGAAGCAAAAATAAATTTTTTTCAGTGGCTTCCTAATATCATCTAGAACAAAAAAAAATAATTTTTTGATAACCCCATGAGCAATTTCTTTCATAATTTTATTAAGTATTATATATAGATTTGATTTTATTATTTAAAAATTAATAATACTATCTTCTTTTTTTTTTTAAAATATGATATTTCATTTATTAACGAAACACCTAATTAAAAATATTATAATTTATAAATTATAATTATATAATTAAAAATAAAAATTGAGTCCCCAAAAAGGAACCATAATTGTGTCTAAAAATTTCTATTTGAATTTTTTGTCGAATAAAAAGGAATTCTCTTGGTTCATTTGTGAAAAGTCGTATTTTATTAGCAAGATTTTTTAAAAACAAAAATGTTGAAGGCGAAAAATGCCCGTTAGTAGAAGTCACAACTGGAGTGAATAAAAAGTTTTTAAAATTTTTGTATTTGTTTATCTTTTTAATTTCAGCCTGTGTTATTAAATTGAAATTTATGTTTGAAGGGAATGATGAAACACACGTGTAGTCCCATATGAGTGGTTTGCCGAGGGACCAAGGTATGGTTGTCATACCATCAGGTCTTAAACCATCTACTTGAGATAAATTTGATGGTTCGAGATTGTTAGGAATGTGTGCAGCTGTTAAGCTTCTATTTATTATATGGTTTACAGCTGAGTGGCGTTGATGTCGCCCTTGACTAAAAATGCAATTTAAGCCATGTCTACCCTTTGAATCAACGGGTGATTTGCATTTGACGCAGGCATGAGGCTGTACTATATCGCAACCTAGACGTAGACCAATGGTTACTCTCAGTTGTTCATCTGATAAGAGATTACCAAGGTTGCGACTAGGGAGTGATTCTAACCATTCATGACCACCAAGTCTGTCAGATAATTGAAGGAGTTGAATGCAATCTAAAGGTGGATTGACTGATATATCTGTCTGGTATTTAGAGATTAAAGGTGTGAAAAATTTTTTGTGTGTGATGATTGATGGTAATACGGTGTTAATGGGTGTGTTTGCCTTCCATTTGTCAATAGCGTCGTCTAATAAACGATCGGTAGGGCATATGAAGCCAGAAATAATAGAATTGTTAGATAATCTAGATGATACGAATGATGATAAGGATAAAAGATTGAGCGGAAAAAAAATCTAAACCTCCTAGTTTAGAAGGTAGCTGAGCAAGTGACCAATTGAATGAGTTTAAATTTATGTTTAAAATTTTTTCCAGAAATATTTTAAATTTATCCTGAATTTTAGATATGAATTCATTGTTTTTGAAAAAAGATGATGATCGGAAAATATGCATAAATTTAGGTATGTACAGGCATTTGCGAATTAAAAATAAAGATTGATGAGCTGGTAGGAGACTAAGAATGTGCTCCATACTGTAAAAGCTTTTAAAAATCTTGTTGAGAAAATCTTCCGATTTGGTCGCATTAGCTAATGGGGACCCAAGTAAGGTTAAGCTGTCAGGAGCAATGATTTTGTAGCCTTCCAACTTTTGTGGCTTATTGTTTAAGAAACATAATTCTGTTTTATTTATGTTACTATTTTAATTTTTAGGGTTAGATTAATTCATATAAATTATTTATTCACTCTTTTCACGGTTTATTTAAAATTAAATCATTTCAAACAAACTACAAAAATTGTTGACTAAATATTGAAAAATTGGAATTATTGGTGACCTTGATATAAAGATAACAGGTTACGAATATATGAATTTTCAAAAATTTAATCAGGAAAAAATAATTGTTCATAAATAATTTTTAACACCATTTTAATTATATGTTTTTTTTGTATCTCAGATTTCACACTTTACATGAATTGATGGTTACTTTCCGGGTATTTAAAAATGTAAAATGGTCATCTAGATATTTAATAATTATCTGTATCTTCATTGTCATCATTTATTATGATAGTCAAGACGACTTTTTATTGAGCAAAGTTTTTACCGATTATCCAGATCAAACGAGGAATATTACCATGCGCAATTTTTCTCTATTTAATGTATCGGAGATTCGGTTTACGGCGGTGCCTTCCACTGATTTATTTCTAACAAATATGCTAAAAAATGATGAAAGAGATTGTTGTGCCGGAAATTGTACATCCATATACATTTTAGCACTGATAATTTCCTCATGGAACAATTTTAGAATTCGCGAAGTCATCAGAGACACCTGGGAATTTAATGGCAATATATCCGTAGAGAATAGAACCCATTATGTAAGGCACGTTTTTATTGTTGGTCAGGCCCCTTACAACTCTTCTTTATCTGAACAAGAAAATATTTCATCACAATTAAAGTTGGAATCGGAAATCGGGTTATTCCAAGACATTTTGAAGATCAACATCATGGATACTTATGCTAATTTAACTTACAAAACAATGTCTGGCATCACGTTCGCCCTAATGCGTGGCATTCAAAATAAGATTTTTCCCTTATTTAAATCGCCCTGCTTCAAAAAATATTTGCTAAAAATTGATGATGATACATTGCCAAATCTAGCTTCCTTGATTGAAACCTTATTAAATTACCATGAAAATATAAGTATAAATAACCTCTCCATGTCTCAACAGGACTCGATCACTTTCCCGGTATTTATATGCGATGTCACACATCATTGTTATCCCATGAGGGATTATAAACATAAGAACTTTCTGTCCATACTGAACTTCCCGATTTTATCTCGGTTCAGTTTACCTTTCAAGTTATCATTTACATACCTTGGGAAATATGTGCAACATGTCACGATTCACCAATTACATAGCTAATGAGGACTTTTATGTAACTGGGATGCTGTCTCAACTGCTCAATATATCTATGGTTGACATAGGGCATGCCTATGCTAATATATCTAGTATGCTCGATCATAGGAGTTACATGTTTTATGACACAAGTTCATGAGATAAATGATTTTCTCAAAATTTCGAATCGCACAATGTCAGCTATGCACTGAACATATGTAATGTTATGTAATTCATGGGGATTGGAAATCTTTAGATTTTTCAATCATTATCCGGGGGCCATTTTTAAAATTTTTATAATCTGGTTTAGCCTGAAATTTACTCCAGCATGGGTAAAGACTTTCCCTCTAAATATCAGACAACTTTGGCCATTAACCTTTGCGTTTTTTAAATTTATTTATATCTATGCAAATTTAGAGGAGTTCTAAAGTTAACAGCAAAATTGTGTGAAATTAACAACAGTATGGGAACTCTAATAGATACTAAATTACATATCAAGTGCCAAATCAAATTTTTTTTTGAATTTAAAAAATTGCCTTTAGTAACTTGTTTAAGATTGAAAGACATCCCAATACGAAATACACTCCAATATACTTGATTTTGAATGTGATAATAGTATTTCCCCAGAAATTAAGCATACGCTTGATCTTAAATAAGTTGTGTAATACATTGTTCAACATTTATATTCCTATCTTTGGAAACCTCTAATTCAAAATATTTAACTCCTCAATCCAAAAGGATTAGTTTTGTTTTTACGGGGATAGCAAAATTCATTTTTTTGCCTTTAATAATTAAGTTTCAAACTATGACAAATTAAAATCAATTTGATTTAAATAAATAAAAGGGAAAATTATTCGTCTCTAGTCAGTTCAGAGAAATTTTTATCGCCGTTTTTTTACTGAAACTATTATCATGAATGTGTCGTTTATCGCGAAAGAATTTTAAAGCGAAGGTAATATCGCACCAATTAGGCGATTTTTTTCCCCGCAAAATATTTACAGCGAAGACAATATCACGAATCCGCGAAACCTAGACTGCGTATAATTCGGGGCGAATACATTTTAGTGAAACCTATCTCAAACCCATTTTATCTACCGTTGTAGTGATTAATTTTACTGCGAATATATTATCGCAAGACACTTGCCCTGAAACAATGAATATTTTACGCGAATGCATTTATTATAAGAAATACAACATATTCGATAATAATTTACCCATATAGGACCCGAAATTTTAACGGGTATTTCGCTACTTATTGTCTATTAAGTAAGCAAGAGTTGGTATATCTGATGTGAGAAAAAAAAATAACTTAGTAATTTCTTTCTAGCGTCTCTAAGTTATGGTGGGGGGAAGGGAGATCAGTTTTTTAGCTTAATAAATTTACTCCCCAGCCTATTACCTCCAACATATATATATACATCTTGAACATGTAAAATAATGCGCTCTATGCCATTAAAAGTAAATTTTAGTAAATATTCTGACATGCTTAGGCAGCCTAAATCGGCTTAATATTTAAGAGCAATTTTGAACCACAAGAATGCAACTTGTGGTGGTAGCAAGGTGGCATTTTTTATTAATTTATTTTGAAGCCGGGTTTGTACTTCTTCTATTTTGGCCAGACATGATGTTATTATATGCTTGGCTTATTATATTCGATGAATCAATATTTAATCTATTAGGTTGTTTTAAAATACAATTAGTGATCGCTTTCAGCAGAAAGACTTTGTAAATTAATGATCCCTATTATTTTCTTGGATTTCTTCACAAAAAAATATAACGAATAATTAAGTTCAGGTTTTTCACAACTTGTTTATTAAATTTATATAAATTAAATAAATATTATTTTCTAAAAATTTAACTGTATTTTCATTTTGATTGAATCGCTAATGGTGAATTAAATAATTTTTTTGCTAAGGGGAGGGGGGGGAGTCTGCCCCTCTTGGGTCTCCTCGTAGCTACGGCCCTGCCCTTCAAGCGTCTTTCGGTATTTCAATAAATGATAAATAAGTACAGAATAATGATCAAATATATTTTTAAAATACTCCATTAGAAAAGATAAATTTGTAAGTTAGCTTCTGACGAAAAAGAATCTTTAGGAATATTGTAGAATCAAATCGATTGTATTTTAAGGCATAATTGTTTTGTTTTACTAGATGATTTCATTATTTCATGAATATAAACTCTTTCTCAATGTCAGGTTTCGAAAAAGTGCCTACCACTGAGATTACCTATTATGCAACCTTCATCTTTATCACTAGTATATCCTCCTTACTCTGAGCCCAAAGAAAATTCACGGAGTTCGATTATCTTCGTTCTCCAATAGTGGCTAAATAAATATACGTTATATAACTGATTTGTACTTTATTATAAATAATTATACGATGATCATCTTAAAAATTTTAAAATATAATTCATTTAATACTTATATTAGAATTCTAGGGTATACCATTATCGGAACATGTGTGTTTAAATTATTTACCATAAATGAATATGAAAACAAATAATACTAAATACACTAAGTTCTTACCAATATTATAAAGACTCTCTCAATTTAAAAACAATGTGTTTTTTTTTACTAAACGCTTCCGCACAATTTGCAACTAATTGTACCTTCTTCTTTTTTTTTAACAAAATGGAATTAATACAAATCGTAATTTTTTTTATGATGTTTCTATATTGGAAAAGTATCTAATCAGCAGGCAATATATATATAAGCGATAACCGATGTCACTTTCACCAGTGAAGGATCAAGGTTAACTAATTGTTCTAACTGTCTATTTGTAATTGACATTTATGGACGTTTTTCAATATATTTTCTATAAGAAAATTGTTGGAGTTTTAATTATCTTTGTTTGATTTTTTTTTAAAAAAAAACATTTTATTATGGAAGTAATAAAGATTTGGATGGATATCGATATGGGGATATGAATAAATAAATATAATTTAAACCTGATCATATGAAATAGTTTTGATACTAATCAATAAATCCTGGATTCTTAAAGACTTTCTAGTTAAGGAAGGCCTAGGACAAGGGTAGCCCAAAAAATTATATTTGGTATCATAAATTTTGTAAACCAATTTTAAGCTCGAGAACCATTATACATTTATTAAGGTTAAAAAAATATTCAAAATCTCGATCTTTCAACATATTCTTTAAAAAATGTTATATAATTATGCCTCCCTCGACAAATACAGCTGATAGAAATGCTGAAATCAATATTTCCCAACCTCGTAGGATTTTCAATCCCATGCTTATCATTCTTTAAGGAGGAGAGTGCATCAAAATGACATAGGGGTATATCATATGGGGGGTATATCACTCCTCATTGTAATAGTTTGAGGAACATACGTCGCTCCAATATACGATCTCAAAAATCAGTCTTGTTAACGCTCCTTTTTAAAAGTAGCGACTCCCGCTCCCGCTACTACATATTAAAAGGAGCGCTCCCGCTCCAACTAATGGAGTGCCGCTCCATAACCGCTCCTTTGATTTTCATTTTTTTAGAAGGTACACGAAACAAAATCATATTTTTTTATCAAAACGTTTTATTTATATTATATGATATATCAAAATATTTATAATCTTTTATTAGCTTTTAAAAGTAATAAATTTTCTAAATTAGAATCTAACAAACACCCACGCTTCTCCCATAAGACATGTTTTGCGATACTAAATAGGCGCTCCACAGGAGCACTAGAGGGAAGCGGGGTATTGTATTTAATATAAATATTTTTTAATTCATGGAAATGTTCAAAAATAGTAATTTTGCTATCATTATTTAAAAAATATCTATCCAATATATTATTTTCATAGTAATCGATTTCATGGAATCCAAAGAAATCTTCCAAATCATTACAAGGTTCCCGTGAACTAGTTGTAGCTATTTTTCCGTCGGGTATTTGTTTCCTTAAAAAATTAATTAATCTGGCTTTTAGTTCCATATTTTTTGGATCTTTTATCCATTCCCAATTTATATATCTATAAAATGAATATTAATATGACTTACAAGATTTTTCAAAAAATTTTCAATAAAAAGGAAAAACTGACGTTTAATGTTTCAAATGATTAGATGAAAAATCAATATAAAACTCGGCTCAACATTTAATAATGAATAAATTTAAATAAAATAAAATAAAATTTTCATTAAATTTTAATTAACAAATATAATAAATATTTAAAAAATAATATAATTTATATATTAAATTTAAAGGAGGAGCTACTCCCGCTCCCGCTCCTCATTTTTAAAAAGGAGGGGCGCTCCAGCTTTTTTTGAAAAAAGTGGCGCCCGGAGCGCCGCTCCTTAACAAGACTGTCAAAAATAAATGCCTTAAAATGATAGACACTGATATAAATTTTCGCGTGTTATCGATTCTTCCGTAATAATAAATTTACAAAATAGCTATATCGTTCTTCGCAATTTGGGTTTCGCGTTAATGATTTCGCTATAAAGCTTTAGTGATTCATTTTCAAAATTTTTTACCTATTTGCGTAGTTAAGGGTGAGAATTCCCTTATTTTTGGATTGCCCTTTCTTAAAGAATTTGATATGAAACTTCCTGAAGAAGTTCGTATTAATAATATAAATATGATGGATTCCAGTTTAAATACTATTGTTTCAAAATTTCCGCAAGTTTTTAGATGAAGGCGTTATCGAGAAGGTGGATCCAACAAAGACTCCAATTACTTGGGCTACGCCAACGGTTAATATTTTAAAGAAATCCGGTGCCGTGCGGATATGCGGAGATTTACGTTTAACAGTCAAGAAATATTTAGGGATAGATAACGATTTACTACCAACTTTCGTCGACCTCACAAATAGGATCGCGGGTGGTAAAATATTTTCAACGATAGATTTAAGAGATGCATTTTTACAATTCGGAGTTAGTCCAGAATGAAGAGACCTTTTAGTATTTAGACTCTTGTCGGTTATTACCGATACCAAAGAATTCATTCTGGGTTGACTAGCGCTCCGATAATATTTTAACGCTTTATGCAAAACCTATTAAAGGGAATTCCTATGGTTAGTG